TGCTTCTTTTTTCTTGCCACCAGCATGAACTCTGTACTTTCGCAAATCCTTGATCTGTTCAAAAAGATTACAAGTACATACATCGATATCAACACATGTATCTGTTCTAGATTGAGTTGGCAAATTGCTTGCTATGTCTGCCCAGGATCGTGTTTGTGCCGTTTCACTTTGCACACACATGTCATTATACAACTTCATTGCATGTGGGGACTGCACACTGTAGGCATATAAACCTAAAAGAGTTTCTGTGTAAGATTGAACACTGATATCTTTTTTCTCGGATTTCACCTTCTTTTCTTTACAATCAACTTTCTTTCGGTCTTCCTTTTTTTCCTGCTATGGCTTTCATAGAATGTCTTCATTGCTTTGCCGATGTAAGTTACACCAGGTTCTAAGACTTTGCCATTCACTGATTTTCTTCTGATTTTCCTGTCTGTTTGATGATCATCTATTGATTTGGGATACAATTTTCTTGATTTTAGTTTCTCCACCCATTTCGTCTTCCTTGATTTCACAATTACCCAGTCATCCTCAAATTTTTCATTTTGCATCTCTTCGTGTTCTATTTGGGATGGATTTTCCATAGCCAAAGGATTATGTCTATCAGACTCATTTGTTTGCCTGTCAGTTATATGATGTTGTGTTCCTCTCAATCGATTGGTTTTCTTTCCCTTTTTACCATACCTCTTCTTTGATCTGCCACATTTTCTTTTGTTGGTCGTACTTGATAGGGTCCTTGATTGGTTCAAATCCAAGTAACAGTGTTCATCATGATCACCAAGAAGTTCGTATCTATTGAAATGAGAAGGGATGCATACTTGATCAAACATGCGATGAGCCATGTTGTTATTGCCACAAAATGAACAAATCCAGATCAATGTCAGGTCACTCAGTCTGTCTTCACAAGGGAATCCCATACATGTCACATGAAAATGCTTACTACAACAGTCACATCTTGCATCACTTTCATTTTCTTTGATTTCATTGTTACAGATACAGCATTCATTAAGATCTGGGTTGGTCACCAATGCACAACTAGTCAGTATATTCATGATTTCATCAAGTGTTTTCTTAAATTCAATTGTATCCATCATGGTAAATTTTGCTTATATACTTGCAACAGTTCTGGTTAATAATTACAAGTCTACAATTAACGGTTCTGTAACTTTGATATATAATGTTCTGTATATATTCCTTACTCCAATAGTCTTTTATTTAAATATTCCTATTGTGAATTATGAAAAACTAATCCTTACTGATATTAAACTCTATGGTATTTCAATAGCCTAGCTTTATATACACTAGCTTGTACTGTGTTAAGGAGCTATAATGTTTTTGTCTCAAGATGGCGTTTTTTATTAAAATTATGAGTAGGTCATTAATAGCCTAAATGTATTGTAGGCCTATATAAGTTCCCAAATTGCTAATTTCTTTGTTACTCTCTCTCTGCAAACAGGTTCACTTTATATCCTGATCAAAATATCTTTCTTATTCTTTCTCAAATCAATCAACCTCACTTATATTTCTAAAACTATATATTTATCCTGACCCAATCTTCTTTCTTACTCTCTCTACAATCAAGCTTACTTTTATTTTTAAAATTCTGAACACTATATATCGAAGGATTTCTTTCCTTTTCTCTTTACAATCAACAACGCTCACTTTTCTAGGACTCTATATATTGACACAAATTTTGTGTGATTATGGTCTTATCAAGTTCTAGGAATTAGAATTAAATTGCTTTCTCGCTATTGTTCTTCTTTTTATTTCAGTTTGTTTTTAATTCCTTTTAGAAACTGCCAAATATTTCTTTCTAATTTACAGTAATTATGTCTTCTAAAATGGCAATACAGTCTTTCAAACTTGCAATATTGCCTTCTTCACACTATTTTGTTCAATCTTCTTTATTCTTTGCTGTGTATACGCTCTTTTTACTTTCCCAAGATTACTAATACTACTGTTTTGAATTCTAATAGAGGTCTTATCAAGTTCTAGGAATTAGAATTAGATTGCTTTTTCTCTATTGTTCTTCTTTTTATTTCACTTTGCTTTTAATTCCTTCTAGAAACTGCCCAGATTTTTTTTCTAATTGACAGCAATTTTGTCTTCTAAAATACAGTCCTTAAAACTTCCAATATTATCTTCAACGACTACTTTCCAATCTACTTTACTCTTTAAAATGTATACCTCTTTTTTTCTTTCCCAAGATTTACAATATTACTGCTTTCAACTGTAATTATGGTCTTATCAAGTTCCAGGAATTAGAATTAGATTCCTGTTCCTCTATTATTCTTCTTTTATTATTGCAGTTTACTTTTAATTCCTTCTAGAAACTGCTAATAATTTCTTTGTAATTGACAATAATTATGTCTTCTAAAATGGCAATACAGTCCTTCAAACTTCAATATTTATCTTGAACGACTACTTTTCCAATCTACTTTACTCTTTAAAATGTAACCTCTTTTTTTTCTTTCCCAAGATTTACAATATTACTGCTTTCAACTGTAAGTATGGTCTTATCAAGTTCCAGGAATTAGAGTTAGATTCCTTTCCCTCTATTGTTCTTCTTTTTATTTCAGTTTACTTTTAATTCCTTCTAGAAACTACCAATAATTTCTTTATAATTGACAATAATTATGTTTCTAAAAATGGCAATACAATCTTTAGAAATATTCTGTTCCAGTTTGATTCGATTCAAGATTTCCAGATTCAAGTTTCATTCAGTATGTATGTTTCAGATTCAAGGTTCAAGATAGTTCAAGTTCAAGTGCTAGTTCAAATACAAGTTCAAGTGCAAGTCTTTGGAAGTTCTTTAGTTCAAAATAGTTCAAGATAGTTCAAAATAGTTCAAGATAGTTCAAGATAGTTCAAGATAGTTCAAGATAGTTCAAGATAGTTCAAGTGCAAGTTCAAGTGTAAGTTCAAGTGCAAGTTCAAGTGCAAGTTCAAGTGTAAGTTCAAGTGTAAGTTCAAGTGCAAGTTCAAGTTCTTTGAGAGTTCTTGGAGAGTTCTTTGGGAGAGTTCTTTGGAGAGTTCTTTGGAGAGTTCTTTGGAGAGTTCTTTGGAGAGTTCTTGGAGAGTTCTTTGGAGAGTTCTTTGGAGAGTTCTTTGGAGTTACCACCCTCGGTCCTGCAAAAGACAGAAAGGAATAGAAAAAAAAATTAATTAAATTCAATAGACACGTTCTGGGCAATTCTTGAGAAATCATCAAGGAGCTCGTATCTATTGAAATGAGAATGACTTAATTATTAAATCACTATTGCTTCAAAATAGACTTCCCCTTTAAGTCAACATAGATATGTGCCAGATCCAGCCCCATTCACTTTTTACATGATTGAAAAGCCCTGATAAGGGCTAGTTGTACCATATTATGAAGTTTATGAATAATATGGATTATAGATTAGAATCTAGAATATACTTACTTTAATTAGAGCGATGCTGGAAAGTGTGC